GCCGGATGTAGCTCATCGTCATGCCCAAGACGCAATGTTTGTGTCGAAACCTAATTTATAAGTTATGTGACTAATGGGTAAGGACTCTGAACGAGAAATTGGAGAGCTGTGTTCGAATCCAGTCATGTTCCGTACATTCCCTTAAGCGCTAATATGCTTGGTGGGGGGGGGAGCATGAATCCATATCTTCTCCCCTGCCCCACCAGACATGTTTGGAATAGCAGGACAAACTGCAGCCTTGGTTGCTAACCGATCTACTTCAGAAAGAAACTGCAACCTACTGCGGGAACATCTCCCTAGTCATAAATCGAAAGAAATTATTGTCCAAGCGTGTATCGCATACGACACTGACAAAACTTCATTCTTGCCGTAGACCTTAAGAGCCTCGGCATACACATACAATTTCTTTTTCTCTCTCCTTTTCAAGGGTTTTTTTCCTGCAACCCAATGAGTTTTAGTTGATATCTTAATTATCAGTGGGGTTTTTTTGGGGGGTGCATAATTATGTACAATTTCCGTGCGTATATGACCGCTTTAACATGTCCTTTCAGAATATAGGCGATCATGGCGCTCCAGAGTACTTATCTAAATCGTAGCAGAGAGGAGTCTACTTGCTTTTGCCATTGTTTCGAAATCAGGTGTCCTTCTGTTACACTTGGTTACCACCCAAGGCTAGAGAGCTCACTATACCCTTCTATTTAATCCCTAGTGGGGGGAGAAATGGATTTATGTTCTTAAGGTAGGAAATGTAATGAACTTCACTGGACCTTGAACTCTGCTCGACGATTTCACTTTCAGCGCAGATAACTGATACGCTACCTGAATATCCATGGAAATCGAGAGAAACATTGACCAGCGCTTTCGGTATTTTTTCTTGGATTCTTTGAGTTCCAGGGATTAACCGTAGCTCTTGGGAGAGGTTTAACTGCAAGTAGATGAAACGCAAACAAAAGTTCCATTTCTTTTTTCTTTTTTTTTTTTTTTTTTTCTTTTCTTTTTTTTCAGGAATGGGTAAGAAGCCGATTGATAGGTTCAGATAAGGTCTGACTATTCTTGGCACAAACTAATTATACAGAGTGCGATGGATAAATTGTCTAAATTACACAGAAGGAAAATAGCACTGACATCTCATTTTAACAGATATATTAAGCAAAACTGCACAAAGATATTCTGAAATGCTAAAATTTATTCAATAAAATTGTCATTTGCCTTCAACCACTGAAATGTTTAATATCCTATTTCCACCTTTTTGCTTCAATAACTGTTATCTATTGACCCTGTTTACCTGACAAATCGGCCTGATTAATTGATAGCGAACCAAACGGGACCAACTACAGGTCTCACCAGACGAGTTCGATAACAATTCGGATATAATACTTCCTTAGTCTAACTTTCTTCCCACCGTATTAAAAAAAAAAAAAAAAAAATCTTACTTATGCTATAGACTAGAACGACTTGTTCACGAATATATTTGATCGATACAAAAAAAAATGACGCATAAAATCTGTTTGATTACTCTTAGGCGTGTGATGTCAAATGTTTCTCAGAATAAATTTCACCCCCTACAAGCCCAGAATTTTTTAATCCTTTGAAACCACGTATGTCAGAGGTGGTGGGGGGACTTATCCCGTTTGCATTTTAGTCGTGAGACGTCTTTGTGTGCACCTGAGCGCTCGAGAAAGTTAGAAAAAGGTTGACTAAGGTGGATAGATATAACCAGAAAGATATTTTTTTTCTTTGAAATTCTAAATGCCCATTCAATGCAAGGCCCAAGAGCCACTCAAGATGAGATAAAGGAGTAAAAGGAGAAAATGCAAACTTACGAAGATATGTATGATATACATCTTTTATTTGAAGACGTTAAAATTATAGTGATCGGGGAAACATCACCCCGCCCCCCAGGAGACTTTTTTTCTTTACTGTGTTCATCACAGCTGTAAACTGTATCTCTTACTCTGTAACCCTCGAGCCCACACGAGGTTGAGGGTCACAGAATAAGAGGTACAGCTTATGCGGAAGATAAACTTGAACAGGTTAATATTGTAGTGATCGGGAGAAAATCCTCTTGGGAGTCGGTTACATAAAACAGCTGTTCGTGATAAGCTGCTGCTTGGGTGGAACTTGCATCTTACGAGGGAAGATATGAAGGGAATGACGGTGGTTCGCTACAATGTGCGTGGCATGGCGGGCCTTATCCGTGAAAGTTAAGACTATCGGGTCTAAGGAGTATAGTTCCTCTGATCGCTCACCATGGAAATAGTCTTGCGACGTCTCTTCTGTGAGAAAGTGGTTGGATACATTCTAGTTGCCATTTTTAACTGGCAACACTAGTGCCAGTTTTAAGGTGTAGATATTTTAAATGGGAGTTGCTAGAGATGAAAGAAATAAAAGGAATTTCTAGAAAGTTTGACACAAATCAGAACGTCATAGTTCTTCCCTTTTCGTTAGTAAATATCACCTGCTGCTATTATCATATATACTAGGTTTTCTTTTCCAGAGTCTTCAAGTTGTATTTTTAAGGCGGAGGGGGTACATTCTTGTATCTACCGATACATTAGTATTTTCATCTATTATTTGACAAGCCGTTTTGATATTAGTAAATTTTTTGTTCATTAATACTATGATAAAGAGCCACTCAAGGTAGAGATTTACTGAATGAGGATGTTGTATGAAATCCACATCTCAATCTGAAAAATGTTTGCCGTTGTAGTCTGGTCCTTGATAAGACGATAAACTACTTCCGACAGCAAGGCCTCTGAACAGGAAATTGGAGGTTTTGAGGAATGTGGAAACCGCAATATTGTTGTCCCCAGGTCCAGCCTGACCCGGGATGGTAGCACCTGATAAGATATAGGCCATGGGCAAATAGCGGACACAAAAACAAAACACTATGAAAGTATACAAATACATTTTATAGTTTTTCAAAAAACTGTCCGACAGCGTCGACCTGGTTGGGGGGGGATCATCGACCAATCCTCAGCCCTCACCAAGTACTCGGCTTGGGAGATATGCTTTCAATAAGATTTGAAAAGAGGAGATAGAAGGGGCTAAACCAATTCCACTTTCAGACAATATATCAAGCAAAAAGATACTGTCACAACATCGTTAGAATACTGACGAGACACCATCGCATCTAGTCAGACATTCAATTTTCCACTTTTCTCGTTTTTTTCTTTGTTAACTTTTCGGACCGGGATTTCATACTAAGCTATCAAAATGATTGGGAAAAATCCTTTGAGTGGGATTGGGAACTGTCCGAAAATTCAAAGCAAACTGTCCGACAAATTTTGAAGGTCCGACAAATGGATTATTCAAAGTCCAAATGCTTCAAAACAACTTTAGAGACAAATGCCCATTCAAAGCAAACTGTCCGACAAATCAAAGCAAACTGTCCGACAAATGCCCATTCAAAAGCAAACTGTCCGACAAATGCAAATAATTGAACTGTCATTCAAAGAAACTTCCGACAAATGCCAAACAAATGTCCATTCATGAGCAAACTGTCCGACAAATGCCCATTCAAATTTTGTGTCCGACAAATGCCCATTCAAAGCAAACTGTCCGACAAATGCCCATTCAAAGCAAACTGTCCGACAAATGCCCATTCAAAGCAAACTGTCCGACAAATGCCCATTCAAAGCAAACTGTCCGACAAATGCCCATTCAAAGCAAACTGTCCGATAAATGCCATTCTGTAACTTCCAACAATGCCGTTCAAAGCAAACTGTCCGACAAATTTTTTTTCAAAGCAAACTGTCAGATGTCCCATTCAAAGCATTAAATAAATGCCCATTCAAAATAAACTGTCCGATTCAAGATTTTATCTATGACCGCTGTTCAAACAAAATCGCCCAAATAGACCTTGAATAGATGTCGTTTCAAAATGGATTAAACTTAACAGTGTGGATCGTGTGGAAAAAAAAATTGAGTGTTTTCATAACTTTTCATGTCGTACTTTCTGCATCACAATGCATTCAGATCTCTTTCCTTGTATCAATGTGAATACAACTTATACTTGAATGCTAACAGAATCTACTCAGAAAGTTCATTCTTAAACATGACTGGTTTAAAAAAAAAATAAATAAACCGATTTATTTTATTTAGAGCTAGGTAGTTTATTTGGCTCGCTACTTAAAAAAAAAAAAAATCCTTTGATAAGAACAAAATTTAATCTTTAAAATTTCCATTGTCGCTTTTCTTCTCTTCGTTCGTCACATAAAATCTGTTAATCGGCTTCAAGTCAGTAATAGAGGAAGGAAATTCGGGTAAACGACATCCTTTTACTAACCGGAATAACATTGTTCGGTTGAATCAGCAACTAAAAAAAACTTTCCAGGAATGTACGTTTCGTTATCACAGGAATATGCGTAACGTTTCTTTTACTTTTTTTTATATTGCTTCCCCCTGCTCGTTTGTGTTTTATATATATATATATACTCACTACATTATGATGGTTGGAGTGACCGAAGCCGGGATGTCTTTTAGATTCTTTTAGATTTTATCAAGAATCTCTAAATATAGGAGCACCAAACCGGATGTGGCAGCAATATCCGAAGCATGGGCGAATGATACTTAGAAATATATGATAGTTTCTGAAGTGAAAAATTGTCTAGTACGACACAGTGAACCAACTTTCCTAGCAGCAGACCTATCAATTGATTCAATATAATCGTTCTACTTCATGTCAACAGAACTTTAGCCCAAAAAGGCACAAGGAGGAACTGTTCTCCTGTCATGCTGATGGGAGAAAGGGTTCTCTCGGATAATTAACTTCTCTCTCTCTGTTTTTTCTCTCTTTCTTGTCTGGTTTTTCTCTTTTTCTCTTCTTTTTTTTCTCTCTCTCTTTCTTTTTTGTCTC